TAAGGTCCTAGTCGAGCTTTTGTCAGATGCAAAAGTAATTATGACTAGCTAACTATAATAATGGCCTATAGCATTGATGATATAAAGTATCAAGCATGGTTCCCACATAGGCATGCATTATTGCATCCAACTAAACATACATACACGCACGAGGCAACGGTATATCATATAGGTTAGAGTTTCGTATGCAACCTATGATGATATTATAAGCAACACTATAGTAGAACATGATAGATTATTAAGGCATCACATGGTTAGGGCATCACAAAGCTAAGATATTCGAATAACATAAGCATCACTTGACTAAGGCATCGAATGGTATTAGCATTGAATAACATAGATAAGTATGACCAAAGCATCTCATTAAATCATAGAAAGTAACACATAAACATCATAGAATTCGCATCCCTAAACAATGATTGACTTAGCTAGACATAGAAGACATAGATGACACCACAATCGATGATGAAGGCATCTCCATAAGCTATGATTAGATCTCTCCTCTCCTATGGAAGCTAACTCGAGCCCACTAGGGCATAGTGTGTGTAAAAATTATATCATAAAGCTAGACCTTAAACATCTATTTATAGTACATGGAAGCAGGGGTTATTCTAGGGAGTTTCCTCCTAAAAGTTGGCAAAAATCATCCTTGTAGGACTTGAACTCGGTTCTTCAACTATTGGACGAAGTAAGCATCTTCAAGATGATTCCAGGGACTTGGGCTACCGATAGCCACCACTGTTGTGTTTTTTTGTTGGCTAGGTTGCTTGTGGTCCTACTAACTTCTCTGTCAAATTTGGGCGCGACTTGACGGGTAATGACCAGCTTTGAACTTCATCAAACGGTAAGCCTGCTACACTACCAAGTCTACTTCTCTGGTCCATAAAGTGAGCATCGGATGTCCAAAAATATCTTTATTCTAGTCCATGAGCTTGTAATCTCGTTCTCCTTCTAATCCATTGATGAGCCATATTCCTATTGAGCATATTGTATTCTTGAAAATCACAAAACAACACCAAATGGCGTAAAATAATACAAAACACACTCAAGGTTTATCTTAGCCACATTGATCAAATAATTACAATATTTATATGAAATACAACGAAAACTACTAAAGGCGCATTGATATAAACGGAAAATGTACCAAATATGAGAGTGATAAAGACTATAGTTTTAGCTTCATTTATGACTGTGGTGTAGAGATATAGAGCTACTGCAGAAACAAAGAGGAGAAGTAGAAGAGCCCTCATCATCGAGTTGTCGGTGGGGTAATCCTGATCATTTTCTAGAGTTCTTAGTTATCTTCTGTGATTGTGAAGAAAGACAAGGCTCTAGTGAAATTCCAACAAGGAAACAAATTTGAAGATTCCTATTTGTCTATTTAATAATTTAATTTATGTTTCATTTAAATTGACATGTCAGCAACTTAACTGTCAAACATTAGAATTAATTTAACGGAGTTGGACGGAGAGTGTCCATTGATAAAGAAAAACGTAAACTTAGTGACTACTAAGAAAGAAGCTTAGTGAACAAACGTGTAATTTATTCAACATTTTAGATACGAATCGAGGCCTGATAGTAACAGATGTCGTGTATTTATATTTGGTGACAATTGTGTTTCTATCTATTTTATATTGTATTTGTGTCTTATATTATTAAGGTATGACGTCTTTTATGGAAAGCGGATCAGGTGAGTAACATATCCACATCAGCGTGACATAAACATCCTTATATCTTGGAAAGCCTTTTATCTTTTCCCTTTTAATCTTTAACGAACGATTTCTCTCTCGTTTTAGGTCGGAATTTAAATTTTTTTGAACAAACAAATTAGATTAATTTTGCTCTTTAAAATGATATCCACTTTGATATATTTTTAGAACAAAAAAATTGAGGGATTTTTTACCAGTCAATACTATATGGTATTGAATAGGAGCATACCATATAGTATGAAAGTGTACCATGATGGTATGAACATACCAAGATTGTAGGAAGGTTGAATTCAGGATAGTATGAGTATACTAACTGTCATTTACGACTTTCATAATTGTTTACCACAAGTTATCACCCCCAAACCAGTGTGGTAAAGTATGGTGATCCAGAAATTTATAGATCCAAATAGATCATGATGAACTCATTTCTTCTGAGCAAATGTTTTGAAAAATAACTTAAAAATAAAGGAGTTACCCTATAGTATGGAGTTGGTAACGAAAGGTATGAAAAAATATTTCTAAAAAAATATTGATAATTGATCTCATTTTGTAGAACACAACAAACTCCTTCCATCTGTGCAAAAAAAAAAATCCGAGTTAAAAAAAAGAAGATAAGAATCTATTAAAAAATTAGGGAAAATTTAATGTCTTTAATTCACAACTCTTATATCTGGATTTTCTGGGTCCGCTTCAATCTAAAGGTCTAGATTAGTTACTCATAGGTTAGTAACAATAGTTACTCACCCTATCCTGAACCTCTTTTATGATTCCGAATTTGGAAATTCCGGTGGTCGAAGACTTATAATGATTTGTCGTTGCTCCCATCAACTTTGGTTCACCAATTTGAGGCCCATTGGTTGAAATGCATTTCGGCTCAAGAGTCTTCGGCGTTAGTGGCTCAACGTCGAGCTTCTCAACCTCTTTCCCCACGTGTCCAGGATTCAAGGCCTCCTCCCACCCCCAGTAATTTCAATGATAGCCCAGTTTGATGGTGTAAACCCAACTTATGTGGTGGATGTCAAGAACCAGTTGATCACAATAACTCGAGTTGTTGAGAGAGGTTCAATCTTGGATCATATATGGGCTACCATATATGGGCTTGAAGTTTTCACAAGTCCGGATACCATTGTCTTGATAAAAACATATGGGGTCATCAGGATTCAAACACAAGACCTTTCAATCACAAAAGTCTCTAATACCATGTCATCGACATAGAGAAGCAAGACCACAAGACCTATGGACGTAGAACGAGTGAACAACAAAGGATCATTCACACTCTGACGAAAACCCAGATTTGAAATCGTGGAATGGAACTTGTCGAACCAGGCCCAAGACGCTTGCTTCAATCCATACAAAGACCGATGTAATAGACATAACTGATCAGAAGTACCAAAGGAGTAACCCGGAGGACGCTCCATATAAACAATTTCCTTTAACTCAACATGAAGGAATGCATTTTTTACATCCAACTAATATAGAGGCCAACCATGAAGTGATGCGACAACTAGAAGAGTGTGAACTGAGACCATCTTAGCTACCAGAGCAAAGTTTCTTCAAAATCAACCCCATACTCCTGTGAAAACCCTTGAGCAACAACCCGAGCTTTGAACCGCTCAATCGACCCATCAGGAAGAACCTTCAATGCATTAACCATACAAGATCCCATCACAAGCACCGAGGGCGGAGGACGTGGGACCAACTTCCAGGTGTTGTTGGCGTGTAAAGCATCCTTTTCCTCGCGGATGGCCCTTTCCCAATTCCAATCTCCTTTATCTTGGGAATACTTAATAGGCACGGGAATGGGATCAACATGATAAAATAAAAAGTTTTGATACTGAGCAGGGGGTTGGCCAAGATTCGCTCTGAGAGAAGGTGAACAGGAGGCACTGTTAAAGAGTCCGCACCTGGGGCTGGTGAGTCAGGTGGAGACAAATCAGCAGAGGTTGACGAGGTGGGAGAGTGGGGTGGAGAGGGATCGGGGGACGAAGCAGATGTGAGTAGAGGATCATCATCAAAATCAGAAAACGTAGGAAGACCCAAGGAAGTGTCAAACAAGGGTGGAGACTCAGAGGAACTCGACGAATAATACATCACATTTTCAAGAAAAACTACATTACAAGAGACACGAACATGATGATTAGAAGGATCGTAACAAACATAGCCCTTGTGAATATCACTATAACCAAAGAACACACAACGAGTAGTTTTAGACGGGATTTATACGTCCAGACTGGGGAAGAAGAACAAAACACAGGCACCCAAAGACACGTAACCGAGAGTATGGAGGAGGTTTCGAAAACAATTTAAAAAATGGACTAGACTGGCCTAACACGAGCTTAATTTGATAGTTGATGAGTTTAACAACACTGGAAACAATTTCGGGCCAGAATGTAGAGGCCGTGAACATAGGACGCAAGAAGGAGAGCACGAGTTACCTCTAGAACATGGCGATTCTTACGCTCAACGACCCCATTTTGTTGGGAGATACCAGGACAAGCTTTTTGATGTAAAATACCAAGAGAACGGTAAAGATCAAGAAGAGGATTGGAACTGAACTCACCTCCCTTGTCGGAACGGACTACACAAACTTGCCTATCAAATTGAGTCTTGATCATAGTTAAAAATTCAGTGGCAATGGCTAAGAGGTCAGATTTCAGCAATGTTATGAACCAGTTGATCCCAATAACCCGAGTTGTTGGGAGATGTTCAATCTTGGATAATATACCGTTTACTAACTGTGGGAGGTGTTAGTTTTGTCTAGTTCCAAAGAGATCGAGTAGTGGAGTTCGCTTTTGGGCATTTCTACAAATTGTATTTCTAATAGCTTTGTTGAGCTCTTTGTGCCTCCAACATTCTTATAGTAATGTATTATTTTGTGGTGATGCACAAGTGATCATTCAGATTACCAACACAAAGGACTCTCCTAAGCTCTCAACAGTGCTCTCTTGTATGAAGTTCAAGTGATGTGTTCTTCTTTCCAGAGTGTCTCATATCACTTCGAGCCTTCTTGGTATAACATGCCACCACATATTGTGATAATAAAAAAATAGACGCTCTTATTGTTGATTCGTCTTCTAGTTGACCAACAAGTATATCTTCTTTCTACTTTGTGATTTGACCTGTAAAGATCTTCTACATTTATCGTATCTTGCTATTTCTCACTTTTTCAAATACACAATTTTTTGGATGTATATATATATATATATATATATATATATATATATATTTTGCATTATGTGCACAATCAATCCCTTATCAAATTTTATATACAATCCATCCTCCCAAATCATTTGTCCAATCTACCTGTGATCCTAATCTTGCCAGGGAGAAGAGCTCACAGCCACAGAGTCACATACATCCAACACCCTCAATCATGCAACCCACCATTCCCACACACATTTTATAATACTTGCAATAAAAACGTTCCCCTCTATAATATTATATATATATATATATATATATATATCGCCATCCATCCTCCGCAACATTTCCACACTATCCAAACCCAAGAGGAAAGTAGTAGTACATCTCGTGTCGAAACAGTGATTTGATTTCTCTCTCTCTCTACCTTTTTCAACTCAATCATCAGCCGGTACCATGTCGGAGAGCCTGGCCGCCGACGAGATAGTGGCGGAGCTGCGGAACGACATCAGGGAGCAGAACCAGCAACTGGACGAGGCGTACGCCGAGATCGACGCCAAGGACAAGCTGCTCAAGGAAAAAGACAAGGAGATAGCCGAGCTGAAGAAGGCGGCAGCTACTGCTCAACCCGTCGGCGGTGGCTCGGCAGGAGAGAGCCTGACCGGCGACCAGATCGTGGAGGAGCTGAGGAACGACATCAGGGAGCAGAACCAGCAGCTTGACGAGGCGTACGCGGAGATCGACGCCAAGGCCAAGGAGATCGCCGATCTGAAGAAGCAGCTTGCAGCTGGGTCCACCGCCGGCGCCGGCGCGGGAGGAGGATCAGGCAGCAGCGCCGCCGATGCGGAGGAGATCAAGAAGTTGAAGGAGCAGGTGGCCAAGCTGAAAGCGGCTATGAACGCCTTGCTGGATGCCTAATTAATTAATTAATGGTTGATTTGGGTGATGTGTGAGCTCTTGTGAAATAATTGATCTTTAGTTTGTTGTGATTATTGGATCTCTGTGTGTATGTTATCTATGTTCAATCCTGTGTGTATTGGTAGTTTGGCTGGCTTGATTCACTATGGAATAATGAATGAAAGATGGATCTTTCTTTCAGTCTTCATCTTTTAGCTTTAGTCGAATTAATTACTTGTAGTTTGAAATGGTGGAATTATGTTATGTATGGACATAATTAATTATTAACAGAAGATCTCTCAAATAACAAGGGTGTGATGCAGATATGGTGAATCTCAATGTACACATGGCTAGCTACAGAGTTGTGACATCGGAACGAACAAAATTTGAAATTTAATTGACCAAGAAATTAAAATGTACTCATTTAAATAAAACTGTGAAAGTAATGCCAAACCCGATTTAATTAATCATGATCAGAGTTAGGGGTGGGCAACGGGAAACGGGTATTTGGGTATACCCGTATCCGTCCCGTTTTTTAAGGGTTACGGGTACCCATATTACCCGTAATATTTTAATAGGATGGGACTTGGGATTGTACAGTCCTAATATGGGTACCCGCGGGGTACCCGCGAATACCCGCTTGGGTAATATGGGTACCCGTTGTACCCATTCAAATTACAAAGACATATAATTCAGCCCATGCGCCCAGGCCCAACCCAATTCAAAATCCATTAAAATTACAAAATTCATTTAATTCAACCCATGAGAGTTGAGACTCTGACGCACCCCTAGAAGACGCGAGACACGCGACGACAGGCGGCAGCTTCTCTAGAATTTGGAAAGGTCTGTCTCTGCCTTGTGTCTTGTCCCTGGCTGGAGGAGTCGTCTTCGCGGGACGAGAGAGAAGAGACGAAAGGTCGAAACCTAGCTCGCCTCGGGCCTCGGTGCCTCCTTCATTCACCGCCACCGCCGCCTCTGAGCTCTCCCTTCTTCTCACCCAGCAGAGCAGCAGTAGTAGCATGTTTATTCTTCTGGGTTTTATTATTTGGTCCTTTCCCCTTCCTTGATTCCTTTTCATCTTCATCATCATCCCTTCTTTGGGTTGTAGGAATTGGTGTAAGTTGCTACTTGTGAAGCCATTTTGTGTTTTGAAATGAATGCTTTGGATGTAATTGACTAATTGTCTTTAGGTAAAATGTCATTTAAACTTTGGGTATTTATGGGTAGTATGGGTACCCGTTATCCGTCCCGTACGGGTAATGGGTACCCGTTTTCCATATGGATTTGGGATATGGGGATTGACTTTGGTCTCCAAATAGGACTGGGTACCCGTTTAAAACGGGACGGGTATCTCGTCCCGTCCCGTTGCCACCCCTAATCAGAGTTGGATTCTTTTTGTTGATTGGATAAATGGTTAGATAATATTATAAATATGTCTTGGTCAGTTTTTTATTTCTCAATGAAGAATTTAATCTTTATCTATCATCAACATCATGTTAAAGGAAAAATCTATCATCAATACAATACAAAATAGTTTAGTGATGCATTTTCTCAATGTATTTACATATTAACAGTAAAATACTTTACTAACACGGTTTTATTATTATTATTATTATTATTATTATTATTATTATTATTATTTTTTTGATGGGCAACATGGGTTATTTTCTATTTCATCTTTGACAAATTTAACATCGTTAATAATAGAGTTGTGTATGCTTATGATGACTTCTAAATCACAATTGAGTTTTGTGCAATTTAAGAAAGGTTCTCACAAAACACGAGTTTTGGTGACCTTTTCAAAATTTGGAAGAGATCTACTTTAAGAAAATGAGCTACCACGTTCGGTCGTTCGCAGTTATTTTAAGAAAAGACTTATTTCATTTCCGTTATAAAAAAAAAAGACTTACTTCATTTCCTATTTCCCCGCGAGCATTGATTATCATATGGGAGATATTTAGCTGCTACCCGGGTTGGAGCCAATTCCTACAACCCACCTGCGTGTCATATTTTAATTGGATGTTAATTTGTTTTGGTTAGTTAATTTTCTGTACTTACCCATTTTAGATTTTCCTTTTATATTTCTATTTTTTCCTCGCAAAATGTGTTACCCATATTATACAAAAACTTAGTTATTAGAAAAACTAAAGTAATTTTGTGATCATATAGGTGAAATCACTTTTTATTAATAAAAAATGCAATGTTAATCTATTGCAATATGTGGTATTCTTGTGGACACCAAATTAGTGATAGATTAGTGCTTCAATATTTTTTTTTTCAAAAAATTCCTCAAAATATTGAGCATACAATAAGATATAAGTAAGTCATATGGCAAAAAACAACGAAGAGCATAAACTAAACCAATCAAAGAACCACAAAAATGCTTTCTTTGCAATCAACTGTACAAGCCTATTATCATTAGAACCACAAAAATGCTTCATTCTATGTGGCTCCACTCAGGCCCGGCTCAGGCCCGGCCCATGCCCTGTGCTGGTCTGACCCACAGCACAGGGCCTCACAATATTTGGGGCCTCAGCCCATATACTATACACATATATATATAAAAAAAAATTAATTCAATCGGCAGCAGCAGGGCAGCCGAGGAGTTCGCCAATCTTCGCCAATAATCTTCCCAAAATTAATTTCAGCGGCAGCCAGCCTCCTTATTCGCCAAACTTCCTCAATTCTCGTAACCTCCCTTCCCAAAATTATCAATCATTAATCGTTTTCTCCAATATTCTCATCTTCCCAAAAATCCACCAACGTCTCTAATCCACCAACGTTCTCCAAATCACCCTTAAATACTTAGCCAAGAAGGTGAAGCATCCACCCCCAGCCTTCTATTTTCATTCCTTCGATTGATAAAATCAACCCCAGTTCGCCTCCGGTGGTTCCACTCCGGCGCTCCCCTGGTTCCGAGAATCCCCTGCCCCTGGTTCCGAGAATCCCAATTCCGACTTGGTTCCGTCTCTCCGTGGTTTGGAAATCGGTAAGAATTTCCTGTCCCTAGCTGTCTCGGAGAATGGTTGAATGGGAATTGCTAATTGAGTTTGGAAATTGGATGGCTAATTGAGTTTGGAAGTTTGATTTGGAGATGGGAGAGGAGACTCTGTTCTCCTGCTACTCTGCTTCTTGAGTTTGGCCGAAGGGAATTTTTTGTTTTGTTTTTTTTTTTTTTACAACAGGCCCTTGCCAGCCGAAGGGAATTGGGAGAAATGGGCCAAGCTTGAATGGCAATGGGCCATTATTAACCTATTTCTAAGTTTCTATTACTTGTTGTGGTGGGCCATTATTAACCTATTTCTATTAACCTAGTTTCCCAAGTGGTTGTTTTTGTTCTTCTGCTGGATTTTAGTATCAAGTTTTGTTCTAGATATTTGAATTTGCTTCAATGTGGCAGGTTTCAGAGGGCAAAGCCGAGTGTCTCATTCTAACAATTTTTTTTTATTTTTTTTTGCAGGGATTTGTCTTGATTGCCTATTGGGATTATGTCATCTAGAAAATTTGAATCAGGTTGTTCTAAGCGTAAAAAAAAACAGAGGATTGAGTTGTTAACTCAATCTAAAAAAGGAGCTCTTCATAAATTTTTGGTGAAAGAAAACGATTCTGATGCTAATATTGCTCCTATTGTTGTTGATGCTAATGATGTTTTAGGTGATAATGCTCATATTGATCATGTTGTTGATGCTAATGATGTTGTGGATGCTAATGCTAATGTTCCTCCTATTGTTGTTGAAAATTCTGATGCAAGTGTTGATTGTATTCCTAATTTTGATGTGGTTGATCAAACTAGTTTTGATGATGATTTTGAAAAGTTTGATATTTTTGATCCTAGAACATGGGATTCTCTTCATTCTAAAATGATTGATATTTTGGTTGAGAAGGGTCCCAAAAGAGATTTATCTATTGAAAAGGGTCCTAAAGATAAGTTTTCAAAAAGATTTTGTGCAAGTTGGTTTACTAAAGTTATGCCGAATGGTGAAAAGCGTGATAGGGATTGGCTTGTTTATTCGAAAGAGCTTGATAAAATATTTTGTTTTTGTTGTAAACTTTTTTAAAAAAAAGGTGTAAGGGGTCAATTGGCAAATGAAGATTTTAATGATTGATCACATATTATAGGTAGGATGAAAGAGCATGAAACTAGTCTAGAACATATTAAAAATATGGCTACTTGGTATGATTTGCGTTTGGTACTTCTAAAGAACCAAACAATAGACAAAGTAGCCCAAAAAGAATTTGAGAAAGAAAAGTGTCATTGGAGAAATGTCTTATTGAGAATTATTTCAATGGTTAAGTTTCTTGCTAAACGTAATATTGCATTTCGTGGTAGTAATGAAAAATTATACCAAAATAGCAATGGTAATTTTTTAGGTTTGGTTGAGATGTTGGATGAGTTTGATCCTGTTATTCAAGAGCATGTTCGTCGCATTACAAATGATGAGATTCATCATCATTATCTTGGTCATAGAATTCAAAATGAAATTATACTTTTGCTTGCTAATGAAATTAAATCTAAAATTATTGGAAAGATAAAGCAAGCAAAGTATTTTTCTGTTATTCTTGATTGTACTCCCGATATAAGTCATCAAGAACAAATGTCAATGATACTAAGGTATGTGGATTTCTCTTCAAATTCTATTTCAATTGAGGAGTCTTTTTTGGGGTTTTTGGAAGTGGATGATACTACAGGTTTATGATTATTTGATGTTCTTAAAAATGAGTTGAATTCTCTTGATCTTGACATTGATAACATTAGAGGTCAATCCTATGACAATGGATCAAATATGAAAGGAGAACATAGTGGTGTTCAAAGAAGGTTATTAGATGTAAATCCTAGAGCTTTTCATACATCATGTGCTTCTCATAGCCTTAATTTGACATTATGTGATATGGCCAATTCTTGTCGTAAAGCTAGAGACTTTTTTGGAATTATTCAACGTATTTATACGATATTTTCAAATTCCAATAAGAGATTGCTTATTTTAAAACATAATGTTAATTTGACTTTGAAACCGTTATCATCTACTCCTTGGGAGAGTCCTGTTGAAAGTGTAAAAGCAATTAGGTTTCAAATGCCAGAAGTGAGAGAAGCCTTACTTCAAGTAGCTGATGTTGATCGCGATTCAAAAATTAGCAGTGAAGCTGAATCTTTAGCACGAAATGAACTTGGTGATTTTGAGTTTATTCTTTCATTAGTTATTTGGTATGAAATATTGTTTTCAACAAATTTGGTTAATAAACCATTACAATCCAAAGATATACTTATTGATGATGCTATTTTAAAAATAGATGGATTGATTTCATTTTTTAAAAGATATAGAGAAGATGGTTTTCAAAAAGCCTTAGAGCTAGCGAAGGAAGTTTGCACGACAATGGATGTTGTTCCAAATTTTCCTCAAAAGCGCGAGATCAAAAGAAAGAGGCATTTTGACGAGGTTCCTGAAAATTCTTCAAGTAATGCATCTTTATCTAGGGAGGAATCATTTAGAGTTAATTATTTCCTATGCGTGGTGGATCAAGCAATTTCTTCACTTACTAAAAGATTTGAGCAATATAGTAGTTTTCAATCTAATTTTGGTTTCTTATTTAGTTCTAAGAAATTATTTTCCTTGGATGATTCAAAATTGAAGTCTTCTTGCATGCATATTCAAACCATTCTTAAGAATAATGACCAATCTGATATTGATGGTAATGATTTATATTCTGAGCTTAAGTTATTACCGGACTTTCTACCTAAGGAATGTATTCTTCCTTTTGAAATTTTAAACTTTTTGAAACGTGTCGATTGTTTTCCTAATGCAAGCATTGTATATAGAATCTTATTAACAATTCCCGTGACTGTTGTTACAGCAGAAAGAAGCTTTTCGAAGTTGAAGTTGTTGAAGTCTTATTTGCGCTCTACAATGACACAAGAGAGGCTTAACGGGTTAGCTATGTTGGCAATTGAGAATAACTTCTTGGAGGATGCAAAGATGGAAGAACTAATAGAGGATTTTATTTCAAATAATACTAGACGGTTGTTACTTTTCAAACAATGATCGATAATATTATCCCTATTGTAATAATTTTCTGAAGTTATGTATTTTTTATAATTATTTTATAAATTTTATTTATAATAAATTTGTGAAAAAAAATTTTAGGGCCACATTTTTTATTTTCGAACAGGGCCCCAAATATAATGGGCCGGCCCTGGCTGCACTCGTTCGTCTGGCAGGCAGCCATCTTGAAGTTCAACTAACTTCAACCCCCATCATGTCATGCTTAGACAAAAGCAAAACAAAACCCTTCTATCCGCAGTTGATAGAATCCTTAGCGAAAATCGAGGCCTATATGCTACGCTAGATGTTAGGCGCGCTAACACTTTTTTTTATAGCAATTTTAACACTAATTTTAATTGATAAGAATATTTTGTTTGATGTCTTGCTTATTTTTAGAAGTTGATCACAAATTCACAATGAGTGTCAATTTATAAAAGGAGGAGTACCATTGTCATTATTAAAAATTAGGAGGGACACATGAATGTGGCACTGATTCGATCCAACCCGCTTCACCAAAATTATCATGAAGCACATAAAAAAACATAGACCACAAACACAACAAATCACACCATAAAGCGGACAAGAAAGCTTATAAACTAAACCAAAACCTCACTACACCACAAAATTCATAACATAAACAAATCTCAAACCATACCACAAGTTCTTTGAAGCAGCACATAAAGCATACCACAATTTTATTAAAACAACCCCCAATTTTCTTAAAACATACAACAAGTTTCCTGAGTCACACCAGAAAAGTCATAAAGCATGCCACGAATTTTTTTTAAGCAAATCACAAACTTCTTAAAGAATACCACAAGTTCCCTGAAGCACAAAAGAAACCTCATAAAACATACCACACGTTTCTTAAAGTACACCACAAGTTTATTAAAACATATCACAAGGTTTCTAAAGCATACAAGTAACCTCATAATGCATATCACAAGTTTATTTAAGCACACCAAAGTTTTATTAAAACATACCACAAGTATATTAAAGCACACCACAAATTTCTTAAAGGAGACGAGAAATCTCATAAAGCAAACCACAAATTTCTTAAAACATGTCATAAGTCTCATAAAACTGACCACAAGTTTCTTAAAACATACCAGAAACCTCATCAACTTAGACCTATTTGTAAAATTTTAAAAATTTAATTATCAAAATATAAGACCTAAAATTATCAGGGGCTAAAATATTATCTTTCATCAATATTTGTATGACTTATATGCACAAATAATTATAAATACTAAATTTTAATGTTGATTAAGTTTATGTATCAAACTTTAATTTTATTATAAAACTGAAACATAAAGGACTAATGGGAGAAAGGGCTGCTCCTATAAGTGCTTAATGAATATGTTGACATGGTGCTAATTAACACTCCCTTACGCCCTATTTGATCCTGCTATCCAATTAACTTAATCTACTAAAAGAATAATGGCAACTAATTAAGAGCGGAAATTTCAAGATAATGAAAACTAAATTTCAAGATAATTTCAAGATAATGAAAACTAAATTTTAAAACACAAAGTTACTCCTCTAATAATTAAAAAATTCCAACGTTATCATACTTATAAAAATAGTTTCTAAACTATTAGACTTTGCTGTGATTTGCTCAAGTTTCAAGCAAATTATGCACTAGTTCGCTGGAATAGAGGGTGAACTAGTGTGGATCATGGCATAATTAAAAAAAAAAAACAACCGGGTGTATGGCAACAAAGAAAAATGAACCACACTGTTGCGCTCCCTATTCCATCGCTCTACCCAAAAAATAGTTGGTCAAATCAACGATCTACACCTATCATAGATAAGAACTTCTAACGCCCGTGTTTTTGTGCACACTTATCAGGTTGTAGCAATTTTTTTATTTTTTTTTCATAATTTTATAGTCCATACAAAGATATTCAATATAAATTATTGTGTGGTTCGAAGCTGGTTTACTTGTATTTTCGGCGATCCAGGTTGCTGGGGGCATATTCGCTTCGTTTTGGCGCGATTCCGGTGGAAATAAGGCTAGTTCACTTTAGTTTGATCTGGACTAATGTAGATCACTCCTGTTTTCAGCAAACCAATGATTGAAAGACGATTGTATCGAAAAAGTCAGCAATAGGATATTTTATACTAAAACTATGGTTCAACCGCGCTTAATACTGCTAAATACCGCCGGTACGATACAATATTTTTTGGTCGAACCGCTGGTACGTTACAGTATTTCCTGGCAGCAAACACTGGACTGAAACCATGCCAGACTCTAGTAATTTATGTGGAAATATTTTTTTTATTTTATTTTTTTATGGTTAATCAAAATTGTATTGAAGCCCGGGGAGGTGCAACTCGCAACCTCCCTCTCAAAATATCAACGTTTTACACTCCAATATACCTATACCAGTAACTAATAAAAAAAAACCAAAAAACAGAATCTATAGACCCAGCACATCCTTGGCCATCTTCTGTAATTCTACTGTACTGCCTATGTATATCTTGAATTCCTGCAAAACTGCGGTTGAGATTTGAGTAGGGTCTGAAACTCTTCTAGTGCCATAAACTCTAGCACATCTCTCTCCCCAAACATAAGCACAACACATCGTCCATAATAGCCTTCCAACCTTAGCTGTCGAGCTTGTACCCGTCCATCTTTGCGTCACCCAGGCCAAATGAGAGCTCCAATCTGGGAAAAGAGGCCACCTGCAGACCTTCTTTAACACTAACTAAAGATCTCAACACTATAAGAACATACAGAGAAAAGATGATCTCCTCTTTCAAGTCCACCAGGACAAAGAACACAACAATTTTCACCTGCCAATCCCCAACTAACAAGCTTATCTTTCGTGGTAATGCGATCTAAGACAATCAACCAAACCAGCAAACTATGCTTTGGGATAAAAGGTTTACCCCACAGAACAGAACACCACTCAACAGGAGCGATTGGAACACGAATGGAGGCCCAAACTAACTTAACAGAGTATTTCACCAGTATTTGCCCATCTAAGCCAGATTATTACCTGTTCCAGATATGTGAGTATGAGCCAATCCTCTGCATTTAAGCACTTTCGTCCACACCCATGAACTGACTGAGCTTGCAGGAATCTCCCATATGTCACGCCCTTTAATCCTATACTTCTGAATCCAGGCAACCCACAAAGAACCAGCCTCAGCCAGCAAATTCCACTTCTTGAAGTCCCTGATCCGTAATCCCCCTTCTTTTGTGAGCATAGCAACTTTAGACCAAGATACAGGTGCTTTCTTCCTCCCATTCAACCCAACCCCCAGAAGAACTTATTGCACACCTCTTCAATTGACTTCAAAACTCTCATTGGCAATAGAAAAACAGTCATCCAATACTGAAACACACTAGTGATAACAAAAGAAATCAATTGAATTCTTCCAGCATAGCTAAGAGTCTTTGCTTGCCAAGTTGTAATCCTCTTAGTAATTCTACTGACCAGAATGCTACAATCTTGAGCTGACAATCTACCAGACAGAAGAGGGACTCCAAGGTATTTCACTGGCAGTTCCCCCAAGGGAAACCCTGTAAGGTCTGATATCCATTTCTGCTCTTCCTTTGAGATTCCTGCACAGAACAATTGGCACTTGGCCAAGTTGCATCTCAACCCAGAAACATGGTAGAATTTGTCCAGTAACCTCTTGACCCCAACAACTTCCCTAACTGAACCATTTGAAAGAACCAGTAGGTCATCCGCGAAACAGAGGTGAGTGATTTCAAGACTTTTACACTTTGGGTGATATGGAATAAGATTTTGAGAAACATCCCTAGCTAACATACGTGAAAAGACCTCCATGGCAATGGTAATCAGGTAGGGGGACAAGGGGTCCCCTTGCCTTAACCCTTTGCCTGCTGGGAAATAACCACAAAGCCCCCATTGAAAGGCACACTTAGCATAGGGGTTGTGACACAAGCTTCAATCAACTTAATAAAACTCACTGGAATATTCATAGCCCCCATAACCTTTAACAGAAATTTGCAATTCACAGAATCAAATGCCTTCATCAGGTCAATCTTCAAGACACGTCTAGAAGAAATGGAGGTCCTATGATAATTGTGGAAATATTTTAGCAACCTATGTATTGTGGAATATTTCCAATAATTAAACTTCCTGACTTCACAAACTACCCAAAACGCACAGACTTAAACAATTAATACCAGCGTGGTGATTTTGAACAGGCTTACAGCTCTTCAAGTAGCGCAAAGCAGTGAATTATGGCTTATGTGTGTTCTCTAGCTTTCATTCGAAAGTTAGGTTCTTTCAATTTTGCTTTGCTGCAACTGTTAAGTAGCTTCTGCCAATTTTTGGGCAATTTTCGATCCTTAGCTATTGCTTTTTGTTGCCAAGAGAGGCTAAAGTAATCTGCAAAGTATCCAACAAAAGACATTTATTTATACCAGCAGCATAATGATCGTACAAGCATAGGAAATTAACAGACGTCCATGCATACATGTAGTGCCTCCAAAACTCGCTTGGCTGCAGACTGACAACGAACTCGATCGCTATATATATAAAAAAAATCATCCTTGACGTAAAGTAGTACAGTGAGAATTACTTGGCGGCGGCGGCGGCTTTCAAGGCGGCGATTTCCTTATCCTTAGCCTTGATCTGTGCATCCTTCTCATCAATCTCCTTATACGCCTCGTCCAGCTGCTCATTCTGCTCCTTAATATCATTCCTCAGCTCTTCCACAATAGCATCTGCGCTGAGGCTCTCCCCGTCGTCGGCCTGGGCTTTCAGCTTCTGGATCTCCTCATCCTTGGCCTTCATCTTGTCCTCGTACGACTCCCAAGCCACGAACTCGAACCGGTGGAAATTGTCGCCGTCGACGGAGTAGGCGCACGCGACCTGATTAATCTTGTCGGGATAGTCCGCGTTGGAGAACGGGCGCACGTGGCGCTGGGACTGCACGTGCAGGAGGCCCACAGTGTTGGGCTCGCCGGCGGGGAAGATGGGCTGGAACAAGGTGGAGGTGTCCTTGGTCCGGTCCTCCTCGGGGGCGTCGGCGGTGGCGGAGATCCAGCGCACGCCGTGCTTGGTGTCCACCGTCAGGAACTTGCTGTTGTAGGAGCATCGGAGGTGGATGAGGGTGGCGTCGGCGGCGGATGGAACCACCTCGAATTGGACAAACGGGTTGACCGGGTCAACGTCGCGCTTGCACCCCAGGTCCTTGTAGTACTCGCCGAACTCGTCGTTCCAGAGGTAGTGAAGGTATTTGCCGACGGACTTGGACTTCAGCACCACGTACTTGGGCAAGCCGGCCACAGTCGTCATTGCTTTCGGGCAAGCTTTTTTTGAATCCCTCGACTCTCGTAAGTAATAACTAGTATACTTCTTTTGCTCTACTTCTTATCTATGAAATTGTGTGGATTGTGTTCGTGGGTCTGCCAAATTTATATAGGGATAGCAATATTAGGATTTCCGCACCTAAAATACAAAATTTGTTAAGAAAAATATCTCACACTACCCCACTTGCCACCCCAAATATCTAAAGCGATATGTGAGTAGATAGTTTGGCAAACAAAATGTGAGTTGTGGTATTATGGGCCCAACAATTGAAATGATGTATAGTGTGTCAACTGAAATGCCTCCTTCCCCTAGACATTTCAGTTAACTCACTCTGTCATTCTTAAAGTGGTTCATTCTTTTAAGTGATAAAATACATTAATATGTGAATGTTCTATCCAAATAAGACAATTAGTGACCACATACTAAAAAAATGTGTCATTTTGATTCTTTTTTGTTTTTGTCAGAAGATCACTCATATTACCGGAAAAAAGCCAGATACAAAAGAGTCACATGACTGAAAAAGGCCAAGAAACAAAATTGAACCCTACAAAAGAAGGGAACATCGAAAAGGCTTTCCTTGCCACCAAATGGACAATCCTGTTACATCTTCGACAAACAAAACGGATGTCAAACACTTGGAGCGAATCTCTCAAACTTCAAATCTCTTCTAAGACCATGCCACCCAGAACATCATCGGCCTGGCTCGGATCTTTTGTATTCTTACATGGGCATCGCCAACAAAGATGACTGAATGCAAAACACGTGCAAGACACCATCGTACCGCATCTCGGAAGGTTAGAAGCTTCACTAGAGACGGATCTGAAATCCCCATATAACGATGTTGATGTTGCCACGTACTTGGGCAAGCCGGCCACAGTCTTCGACATCGTTCAGACGGTTCAGTTTTTTTCCTTCTCTACTACTTATCTATTAGATTGTGTGGATTGTGTTCATGGGTCTGCCAAATTTATATAGGGAGTGCATTACTAGGATTTTTTTTGGGATTTTTTTCCAGAAATACCACTGTTTTAAAAAAAAATTCCAAAAATACCACCCAACCCCAAAAAATTCCAAAAATACCACCCTTTTTAAAAAACCGCCACCCCACCCTGCGGTTTACACGAAAACCGTTTGTCGGGGGCGCGGTTTTCTATGCAAACCGCGGGCCTAGGGAGCGGTTATAAAATTTTTTTTTTGACCAAACCGCTGGGTGGGGTGGCGGTTTGACCCAAAACCGCCACCCCACCCAGTGGTTTGGTCCAATTTTTTTTTTTTTTCCGATCAACTCCTAACTTCGGCCGAAACTTCAAACGAACGTAACTTTGCACTCGGATATCCGATCGTAGCGATTGTTTTTTTCATTTCGCATAACTTTTCAAGATCTACAACTTTTACTAGGATAAGATTTTCAAAACAGGAACTATTTGTGAATATACGGGACCTTGAGAATAACTTTACCTTTACTTTTCACAAATCCATGTACATTTTGAAATTATGATTATATTCAAAGTTGTATATTTTGGAAAGCTATGCGGAATCAATAAAAAATTCATAACATTCGGATTTTGGAGCACAAAGTTATGGCCGCCCAAAGTTTGACGAAATGCGAGACCCGGCGATATGCGGCTTGCAAGATCTCAAAAAGTTTGCGGCCTCCATTTTGAATCCGAATAACTTTTTGAGATCTTGCAAGCCGCAAACTGTTGGGTCCCGCCTTCGTCTCGAAAAAACGTCATTTGCCACCCCGAACGAGCCTTTTTTTGATTTCGTCAAACTTTGGGCGGCCATAACTTTGTGCTCCAAAATCCGAATGTCATGAATTTTTTTTTGATTCCATAACTTTTAAAGATCTACAACTTTAATATAATAATAATTTCAAAATGTACATGGATTTGTGAAAAGTAAAGGTAAAGTTATTCTCAAGGTCCCGTATATCCACAAATAGTTCCTGTTTTGAAAATTTTATCCTAGTAAAAGTTGTAGATCTTGAAAAGTTATGCGAAATGAAAAAAAAATCGTTACGATCGGATATCCGAGTGCAAAGTTACGTTCGTTTGAAGTTTCGGCCGAAGTTAGGAGTTGATAAAAAAAAAAAAAAAATTGGACCAAACCGCTGGGTGGGGTGGCGGTTTTGGGTCAAACCGCCACCCCACCCAGCGGTTTGATCAAATTTTTTTTTTATAACCGCTCCCTAGGCCCGCGGTTTGCATAGAAAACCGCGCCCCCGACAAACGGTTTTCGTGTAAACCGCAGGGTGGGGTGGCGGTTTTTGAAAAAGGGTGGTATTTTTGGAATTTTTTGAGGTTGGGTGGTATTTTTGGAATTTTTTTTTAAAACAGTGGTACTTTTGGATTTTTTCCTTTTTTTTGCGTAAAGTACAAAAGTTGTTAAATCCTTTTTTTCTTTCCAAATTACCCAACTTGGTCTAAATCACTGCAGTGTATAACGATTTAGGAAGGGGATTGTTGAATATAACATCGATCTATGTAAATCACTGAAGGCATAAGCAATAAACATTTTAATTGTCCTAAATTGCTTTTGGGTGAAGCGATCTATTCACAGATCGCTTTAGATTGTGTTTTTCGGCGAGAAAACTTGCTTTGAATTGAGATTGAATGCATATTGACTTCTTTGAACAACAATCGACTTAACACAGTTCACACCTCTTCAAACAAAGTTCGAACAAGGGTGTTTGATGTTTACACGACACACGAGACATATCTACATTAAGTTACTCCTACTCCTATGGAGGTTCAGTGAGAGCTCCAGATCTACGACTACGGCTAAAATTGGAAAGGAAAGGATAAACTTTGACATTGAGTTGTCTAGTGTGAATTTGACGAACCTTTTCTCTGTCATCTTCCCATGCATCACGTGGCTGATTCACGTCGTGGGGGCGTCGCACCCGAGGTCGATGACGACCCACTGGATTACTTGAGCTCTTTTGGCACTGACAAATCGGCGTCTTCGCCCTTCTTCGCAACTCCCTCCTCTCCTGCGGAAGCTAGAAGGTCATCGGAGTCAACTAGTCCCTTGCTCACCGCCATCCATAGCTCTCCCAGTTTGTTGAGGTCTCACTCTTTAGATGCTTCTGTTACTAGCGAGTTGGATGCGGAACAGTTTGACTGTGGCCATCTCAACCCTCTGCCTTCACCACGTCGCTATCCGACACGGAACCGCATGCCTCCTACACGTCTCGATGTTTATGAGGTAGAGTTCCTCGGCCCTTCTTCTCATCAGGTTCGGTTTCCTCTTTCCCACTATGTGAATTATCATCATTTCTCAGCTAACTACTATGCTTTCTTGGCTGCTATGTCCTCCTTTGTCGAGCCTCGCCACTTGTCAGATGCTTTAAAATATGAGTGCTGGCATGGTATCAAAGTATCAGTCTTCTGTGACCGAGATGTTTTGGGTTCGAATCCCCACGCCCCCCATTTGTTAAGCACATGGTATTCGGACTTGTGCAAACTTCAAGCCACTGTGTGTGACTTTCATTTGAGGAGACGTGTTAGTATGTGGAATGTGACCCAGATTTGAACCTCGCCCAACAACTCGAGAGATCAAGTGGTTCTTTACACAATCCTATAAAAATATATAGAGAATCTTTCACGGGGAAATTTTTCTAAATATGATTATACAGAAGAAGAGGAAAAAAAAAGATATTGATCTTTCTAATTTTAGCCATTCCTAAATTTTTTTACAGTTCATCCTATTTATGACCACAAATAATGAGGCACCAGTTTGAAGAACTTCTCATCCCTTTTTGGAACGTAACTGTATGACATTTAGTGATTGGCAATAGCTTGCTTATGCTTCCACATCCATGTGGGTAGGTGCCTCCCTTACCTTGAAGTCGCTGCCATGGTTGGATAGAGGTTAGCTAGCTGCTTGTCTTGGCGTCTTCTCCTCATGACTTTGTGGAACTTGGAAGCAACTAGCTAGTTGACAAGGGGCAATCTCGTCTTTCGATTTCCTTCTTAGAACGTGTTTGATTACAGATTTTTTGGGCATTAGTTTACCGTGGGCGGTAGGTAGGTACGGGGATTGTTGACCGGATCTATGATGGAGATGAGATGATGGACGTGGCTCAGCTCCAGCTGCATGCGTACGTCTGCATTTATTGATGAACAATCATACAAAATATCAGTAGGTAGGTGTGCATTGAATAGATTCTTTTTTCCCCTAACAATGTAGTCATTCATTTTTACGGTTACTTTGGGTGGTTTGGTTTTGGTGATAGTTAAATCGATGTATTGTCATCAATGCATGCATAATAATATACATGTATATAAGAAAATTGGTGTATTGTAGTTCACATCGTTTGGTTTCTGTGATAGTTATTGTAGTATTTAAATAAATTATATAACTTTTTGGGTGAAATGTCACTTTTACCCTTTGTTTATAATATAAAAAAGCAACACACATAAAAAAGGTAGGGACATAGTTGGAAGAAGAAGAAGAAAACAAAACAATCTCCATCAAACAATCTCAACAATCTCAACGAAAACTTGAGATTTAACTATCACTCATTTTGAGTGATAATTTGTGTCAAATCAAGCAAACAATGCATGTATTGTTTACGCAGAAAATTCAAAAAAACGATGCAATATGGAAATTGCATGCATTGTAACTATCCCAACCAAACTATCACCAAAACCAAACAACCCATTAAACCCACGTGATGATGAAATGGATCACATGTTGATTGATGACTCGTAGTTGCTCCATTAATTTGGAATGCATCTGCCTGTCCGGCTGTCCTGGTAGCTTGTGTGGATACTAATTAAGACTGTTGGCCTTGATTAAAATCCTTCATGGCAGGTTACTATATATTCTGAAAAAAGAATTTTCGATATATGCTTAATATACAATTGTGAATTTGACAAGACTTTTTTAACCATGCATGCTTTCACGTTTTGGAATTTGATTGTTGTGATGGCATCGTCAACTCGATGGCCAAGCAAGTCAGCGATGTTGGTATGTAATTGTCTTGTTAGTTGTTTGAATATAATTATACATTTGGTTCACATTTAATGGCGGGATCATGTTATTGTATTTATATATTTAATAATGAAATGCTAAATCAAGTGATTTGAAAAAGAGTTAGTTATTTGATTATGGGGAAGAAGAAGGGGAATTAGTTTTACACTTTGAATATGAACAAAAAATTAACTAAATTAAAAATAGGACTCTATGGTAACTTGACGTAATTAATATTAAATTAATAGATTTGAGTAAACCTTGTATG